TTCTCGTGTTTCACTTCATCCTTAGATGTGTTTCGAGGGGGCCTTGATATTTCAATCTTTGCAAGAGGGAATACAAGCCCTTCTACGCCTTCTACGAGCTTCCTTTTCAACTTTGGTTCAGCCACGGGGCGATACTCTTCTTCTTCTCTTCTTGCATCGTCATCTTTAAAAACTTTGGCCTTTAGATAAAACTTTGCGTCTGCAAAGTATGTTTCGGCTTCTGTGAATGGAGTTTCATCAGCTACTACCTTCTTTACAACGCCATTTTCCTCATACATGAAGCATTGATGCCACGTTGAAGGAATTACACCATTCTCATGGATCCATGGGCGGCCCAAAAGGAGATTATATGAAGCCTTTGCATCAATGACATGGCATAAAGTGCTTGCCTTCAGCCCGCCGATGGTCAAGTCAAGACGTATCATTCCAATCGCCCTTTGCCCCCCTTGATTGAAGCCTTGAATCATCAAGCGGCTTTGAGATAGTTCATCCATTGATATATCAAGGTCTTTCATAGCTCGGACCGTCAAAATGTTAACGGCAGACCCTTGATCAATCATAATTCTTCTGAACCTTCGTCCACGAGTGTACCCTTCAACAAAAAGCGGACGATTATGGGGAGTAGCACCCAACATAAGATCTTCGTCTTTAAAGACAATGTCAGTGGCATATGCAGTAGATTTTTGTGCTTTGACCACTTCTTGCTTAGTCGAAACTGGATTTGAACATCTACTTGAACTCTCAATTTCTTTCTCATGGGTGCTAAGGCAAGAACTCGAAATTTGAGTAACCTTGTTCTTGAAATTCTTCGGCATATAATCGTTGAGAGTAATCACCTTCCGTGTAACCTTGGAACGAGAACGATCATTCCTTTGTTTCTTCTTCTTCTTCTTCTTCAATTCATTCATCGGTTGTTGTCTGATCCATTTCTCTACTACCTTCCTCAGCTGTGGCTTTGGTTTGTAGTCGTTCTTTTGTTTCTTTTGGGTCACCAAGATCCATGGTCTTCCCTCGTCATCAACATCCTCGAGTGTCATTCTTTTAGTGAGAGGAGGACATTCTTTCATTCTCTTGATAGTAAAAGGGAGCTTACACTTGTGAGAATCTGGGTCGTCATTGACCATTAGCGGAGCGAACCTACCGAAGGTAATGGTAATTTGGTTTGCGCTTGCTGCAGAATCGGCAAGTTCAATCTTTCCTTCGCGGGCTAAAGCCATAATCTTGTCTTTGAACACCCAACACTTCTCTATCGGGTGACTCAACACTCTATGGTATTTGCAGTAGTTGGGATCATTGACCTTTGTGGCTTCTTCAGGTCGTTTTGACTGAGGTAAATCAACAAGTTTCAACCTCATCAGTTCATCAAACATTGGAGAAACATCAGACTCCAAGAAAGGATATTGTTTCTCCATCATCTCTCGCAAAGTCGGCTTGACACGCCCCGAGGCTTCAGGTTCAACTTTAGCAACTTGTTTTGTCTTCTCGGTATTTTGAGTGAAGACTTTGACTGGTGAAGTCTTTACAACCATTGCTTCTTTCTTTTCAAATTTAGAAAAGGACTTGCCCCCTTTCTTGGTATCTTGCTTTTCAGCGGCATGGTTCATGGGATAGATGCCCATAGCTTGCCTTCCATTGCTTGCAATACTCAACTCCATGTTACGAGCTTTGCTTGCTAATTCATCGAAAGTAGCTGGATTCACTCCCTTGAGAATATAACATAACTCCCAGTGCATACCTTCAATGCACATATCAATTGCGGAGTTTGTAGAGATCCGATCTTTGCAATTGAGGGCAAGATCTCTCCAGCGCTCGATGTAGGTTATCACGGGCTCATCTTTCCACTGGCGAGTAGTTGTTAATTCAAGCAAGCTCACCACCCTCCTTGTGCTGTAGAAACGGTTTAAGAACTCACGTTCCATATCTTGCCAGCTATCAATGGAACCAGGCTCCAGGTCAGTATACCAGTCAAAAGCGTTTGCTTTCAGGGAACGTACGAACTGTTTGACCAAATGATCTCCGCTTGTTCCCGCGTTATTGCAGGTTTCCACGAAATGGGCAACATGTTGCCTTGGGTTTCCCTTCCCATCAAACTGAATGAACTTCGGCGGCTGGTAACCAATGGGCATCTTTAGATCCTCGATCCTTTGAGTGTATGGCTTAACATAAGAGTAAGTAGATTTGTTTCCTTCTATCTTCCCCTTTATGGTTCCCATAATGAAGTCTTTAAGTTGATCAATCGGGATCATGCCCCCGGAGGTTGAGATATCCTTGCCCGAATCCTCTTGATGAGGATCATTCTCTTCATTTACTTCGGGGTCCTTCTCATGATTATGACTTGACTCGCCTTTCAAGCTCTCTACTTTGTTGTTCAGCTCATTCAACTTTTGGTCTTGATTCTGCATGAACGTACTCATCCCTTCGATGACCCTAGTTAGATGAGCGATTTGTTCTTCCATCGTCATGGCGCTCGTGGTCATAGTGGGCATCACAGTGTAGACATTCGACCACTGCGGAGTAGTTCTTCGTAGAGGACTTGACGGGGGAGTAGAGTCTGATCCAGATGATGAGCTTTCACCTCCGCTTGTCCACTTCGGGGAAGTAACTTCACGTATGGGTGAAGAAAGCTTCCAGGCCATTTCTTGCGCAATTCGAGATCCATCCATTGCATCGGGAGTAGTTCCCGAAGATGACTGCGCAGCCAGGATTCTTGATCGGCTCCTAGTGATAGGGCCTTGCATGTTTTGATTTGAGTTTGATGACATGCTAGAATTCAAAGTGAACACGGGCTTGCTTGACGCCATTGTTTCGTTTTCTTTGATCAAAAGTGAAGAGATGAGAGGTAGAGAGGTCCCACCGGGCGTGCCAAAAATTTGTGAAACAAATTTTAAGTATTTACTTAAAATTGATCGCAAATAATAAAATATGAGAATATCGGGTACAATCTCTAAATATGAATCCTCTGATTCTTCAATTGCAATTTGATATGAATATAATTAAAGAATTTAATTTAAAATTAAATCTCTAATTCTTCAAAAACTCGAACGTTCTTCGATTCTTCGAATCTTCGTTCTTGAGATCTTCGAATCTTCGAACTTCGTTCTTCAGATCTTCAAATCTTCTTGAATGCAAAATTCAATATTGAAGGGCCTCCGGTTTCAAGTAGCTTGATCTTCAACAAAAGGGCCGTTATGTGGCTTGATCTTCTGTTAAAGGGCTTCCCGGGATATATGGCTTGATCTTCAATTGAATATTGATTCAATCTTCATATGAATATCTTCAAATCTTCAAAGATTCGTTCTTCATATCTTCGAATCTTCAAAGCTTCGTTCTTCAGATCTTCGAATCTTCAAGCTTCGTTCTTCAGATCTTCGAACGTTCTTCAACTTTTGGCTTTGTTTGATCAAGAATCGATGAAATCACAAAGGATTATTCATATATTCTTGACAAAAACGTGGCTTGATCTCTTCCTCTTCTTCGGAATCCTTCAGAGCCTTTCGGGAGTTCTTCAGAGCTTTGCTGCAGCGTTTCTTCGTCTGGAAGTTCTCTCCCTTTTTCTCTCAAATGAGACCCCTATTTATAGGTGTGAGGAGGTGAAAATATGGCCTAGGGTTGCTGAAATTCGTCCATACCTCATGGGCCATAATTAAAATGGGCTTTGGCTCTATTTGCTTGCATTTTAATATCTAGAAAAATCAGCACTTGTGTAACGTATCTGGACAGCTTTCTTAACAAGGTTCGGAGCTATTTCTCATGCATATGGACATATTTTTTAACCAGATTCGTCTTCTTTATCAATCGGATCATGCTTCTTATGTATTGAGCCAATATTTGATGACGGGCTCAAAATAGAGAAATTAAAAGGACTGGACCATTCTTTTAGGGAATTAATTTATAATTAAATTAACTGGATATTTTAAATAATCCAGATTAATTTAATTATTAAACTTTATCCGAATGGACCCATATTATTTTTATAGAGCCCAACAACCACTACGAGCAGTCCATTCGAATTTGACGATGGCCCAATATCACTTGAAAGAGGCCCAATAAGATACATAATAGCCCGGTAGCATTTAAATTAGTTTAATAATATTTTGGACTATCATAGAATATTAAGTCCAAAATATTAAATAATTTTCGATATCCACAGACCCCATTATATATTATACAACCATCAAAATTATTTCTCAAAATGTACTCAGATTATTATATTTAGTTATTGTCTAAATAATCGTATCATTTTGTAATGAGAACCTTTAAACGGGAAGGATGTAGTAATAAAAATTATTATTTAATAATAATAATAAAACTCAATCAGATCAGAAAGATTCAAATCATATCATATCAGAAAGATTCATTTCAGATCACATCAAAAAGATTCAGATCATATTAGACCAGATTAGAAAATCCAAATCAAATCAAACGAGGTCTTAAAAGATTTGGGAAATAAAAAAATGTAAATAAAAACAAATCAAAATTGATTTAATTTGGTTGTTCCCATAGCTAGGATGATAGGAATTGTGGATAAAAATGGGGCTATGTATTAGGGAATGCATGAATGAGATCACCCCATCCTGTTGAAGATTGCTAATATGTGGCTACCATTGAGAACGTACGGCTCATCATCAATTGTTTTGCCAGCTGCTCCGATCACTTCTTCACTTCCACCACAGGTCCACAGAGCACTGTGTATTATTAATGATATAATAAAGGTGAGAACTCCGGTACCCATTTAAAAAATGGGGTACCGTACCTACCATTCACTTGATTGGTCCAAATAGGTATATCAATTTTAATTTAGACTTAAATAATTCAACTGCAACATTCTGATTGATCCATGTGGACAAAGGTACGGTACCTTTAGGGTACCATAGAATCTACCTATAATAAATCTGTATCTGGATAATATCATGTCGAATTGTAGACACTTTTTTTTGTCGATTATAGCAAGTATATTGATTATTGAGCTAGCTAGTAGTGCAGTTTATTAGCTATAAAAGGGTGTCAAAGGAAGAAGTAAAATTCATACTCCATAACAAAATCCAATCGCAGGAAAAACAGAGTAGCTAGTTCACTATGAGCAGCGACTTGTTTCTGAGTAACTCACCTCCCAACAGGTCTGCCGTTTATTAACCTTAAGAAAAAAAAATATACATACATACGAATGAATACATACAAATTAAAATAGATTAGATACTCGTTTAATTCAAATTATATATGCAAATTTAAGGTGCGATTTCAAATACATGTGTGTATACTTTTTTAATCAAATAAAAAGATTATTTTTATGTATATTATGCAGTTTCATTCAAATACATGTGTTTATATTACGTATCCATTTTTATCTTCAAAAAGTAGATCTTAAAAAAATGGAGGCAATAAGTGTATGTGGATTGTAATTTTTGACATATATAAATTTGTTTTCATGTGTAGTTCATTGGGAGACAAAACCACAATCAAGGGATTGAAATACCATTGGTCGAACCAGGACATTTTCGTGGATGTTGATACTTGGATCTTTACGCGTGTAGCTATACCACAACATCCCTCCACAGATTTATCTCGGTGAGACACAATATACTAGGAAATAGATGATATTATTATATCTAATTAATTTTGTCCATTCCTGGTTAATATGTAAATGTATAAATTTAGAGCGTAATATTGCGATTAATTGAAACAATAGAATATGAAATTTATATATGAAGTTTTGGTTGAAGTGGCACAAATGAGTGTTCTTGATTTCTACTGAATTATGAAAAAAATAAAAATATATTTTATTAATAAAATAAAGAGAAGTCATATGAAAAATAACTAAAATGATCTTATAGAGTAATTTTACTCAATCCATTCAGAAAGTAACTTTAATCTTACTTATTTTGATTATTACACAATTCATGGTATAAAAAAATTCGTATTTGGTATAAAAAGAATAAATAAGTCGGGAAACAGTGTCACCAAACTAACTGGCTTTTAATTTTGTGCGCACAAAGGAATCATTAATCCTGCCTTTTTTATTTAGCAAAACACTATTTTTCAAGCCAACGATAATACACTTTGCCCGATTATATATTTATACACGATAATATTGATAATATCAAAATATTCTTTGCTAAAAATATTATCATCAAAGTATAAATATATTTGTTAAATAATGGATCACAGCTTATGATTTTTGTCCGTAAAAAAGTTAAAAATGACTAAATAAAAGGGATGGAGGTAGTACTTCGTACATACTACGTGATCATTAGCATAAATACCAATGTAGCTAGTAAGGAACTTCATTGGGGTTACCGAACTTTGAAATTCAAAATCTATAAAATACTGAAATACCTTCTTCTTCTATTATGACTTTTGTAACTCATAATGAATTAAAAGTTAAAGCATGAAACACCTGCATATATATGGATCTACAGGTTAGTGGAGAAAATAGTGAAAGATGGGAATTCATATACCACACTTCTGCAAATAGCTCGGGCTGTTGCAGAAACTGCTCTGACGGAGAACGACTATGTATCGGCGATCAGCGTGTCTGTGAAAGTGGAGAAGCCAACTCAAGCCGCTGCTGATTCCGCTGATTCTTGGGGGGCTGAAGTCTTTCGCGTCAAGCCCAGATAATAACGATTATATGTTTATATATATTCGTTGTTTTCTTGGATGGAAAGAAGATTCACTCGGTGTTGCTTGCATGGTGTGATTGTCATCGTCGTTATGTTCTGATTTTTGAATAAACTAAGCCGAGTTGTACGCTGCTTTTCCCGTGTCATCAATCTCTGAATAAATTTTATGTTCCCACGGTCCAATGTTATTTTAGCTTTATTATATAGTGATAACGATTAAGTGTGTGTGAGTGTGTCCTAGAATAAACTAGATCTCTCTTAATTTATTCTATAAGCAATTGTAATTCTAGCCGCGTTCTAGGTTACAAGAGACATCAGTTAAATTATTCAAACACAAATTAAACGGCATTCATGCAATTAATCCATCAAGAATCTAGTCATACATCATGATTAACCCCTTCATCAATCCCAAATTCCTAATTAAACTACTCACAACTCATAATTGAAAAATCAACAGAATTGGCTGAATAGAAATAATTGTCATTAATTAAAAAAATGAAACTTACAAAGAATCTCAAAAGATTGATGAACAATGCTGAAAAACCCTCTAAGTTCCGTGCTAGGCACTCTCTCTAAACTCCCCCTTTGAAAACGGGGTTTACATGTTTTTTAAATAGAAAACAACGGGGCAATTCTGGCTGAAAAAGGACACCAGGAGCGCACGCACGGCACCCACGCACAGCGTGCGTCCCCTAGTGCGTCTGGAGCATCGCCGCGTAAAAACTTGCCATGCACGGCATGCGTCCCCCCACGCACAGCCGTGCGTGGCTGGCAGTGGGTCCTTCGCTTTCTCGCCTCAGACGCACGGTCGTGCGTTCCCTTACGCACGGCGTGCGTCAAACTTCCAAATTTGTCAAAACTTCCTGCACAAAAGTTGTAGATAATGAAGTCCTATATCCACCACAACTTGCATAATGGGATTTGATCATTCAATCAAAAGATATGAATCAAATGGTGGAAGGTGGCATTTTGAAATCGCAACAGGGATCATCTGACTTCATCGTCTGTTTGCATCTTTCCCCTCTCAGATTCTCGTAATGGTGTCTTCATATGATTTGTGTCCCTTGAAGTTGTCTTTTTAATGCAACTTAAATCGTGTCCATTGGTTGTTTCTACAAAGAGATATGCTTGAATGATTAAGAGAAGGTCATCCTGATCGTCGTTTTCAAGCTTCATTTATCTTCTATTGATCTCATAGCCAATCCTAGAGCTCTTTTGTCATCAAATCTTCATTGTGAACCTCCCGGTGACTTCCAAAGCTCTCAATCCACTCTCTAATGCATCTCGAATCATCCCGATTGCTCCTCAAGCGCCGATGTCGAACTCTAAATTCCTGATTTTGATTCCAAATGACACAAAACTCGAACCAACGCCTGGTAAACATAACTTGAGCTAAAATTGAGACTTGTAACACCTAAAGCTAGGAAAGCCATCAAAAGCCGATCCCAACACACATCAAATGCTTGTCTAAATAGGGACTTATCATTGGGCCTATCGGGCTCATATTAGCATCTGACCCGCTATTTCTCTATATACACTCCCATGGGAGGTCTTGTAAACCTAGTTGATAACATAAAATGTTCTACTAAAATCTCAGTCAAGCAGGGAGGCTTATTCTTATTATATATGTGTTTAACACAATTCTTATTCATTTCATGGCAGTGGATATTTTTCCTAAAAGGTTATCAGAATTCTTGAGAGAAAAATGTCTCATTTCTTTTGGGGATGAGGTTTCACTAGGCAGCATTACAATTAGATGCAATGGAAAGATATGTGCCTTGCAGTGGAAGAGTTTGGGTGGGTATTAGATTGTTATCTGACATTGAGAAAGCTTTTTCACTTAAGTTATGATGGAAATGGAGACAAAATTCATCATTATGGGTATGTTTTGCAATGCTGAGTAGTGAGTACCCAAGGAGTGGAAACATGAATCCCAAAGTCACACACTCATGCATATGGAGAAGACTATGTCACATTCACAATAGGGTAGAAGATTTATCTGAAATGGGTGATAGTGGAAATCTCATCTGGCTGCCAGAGAAGCATGGCCATTTCTACTTATCTTCTGCATTCCATGAAATTAGATGGAGGAAGTCTGAAACTTTATCATCACGCTGCATATGGAACAAAAATCAGACTCTGCCAATTAAATTCTTTCAGTGGAAGCTAATCAATAATATGATCCCAGTTGCAGAGAATCTTCACAGGTTTAACATGGACATTTACCCCTCTTTGTGCCCTTTCTGTAGGAAAAACTCAGAATCCATTGACCATATATTTTACTTTTGTCCGGTTACAAAGGAGGTCTAGCACTATTTTATGGGTATTCTTGAGACATCTTACAGAGGAGATCCTAGTTCACTAAGACAATTGCTACTTTGGTGGTGGATCAAGGCAACTAATCATTCTTGGATTGGAATTTTTCAGGCAAATATGCCAGGAATAATTTTATGGCATATTTGGAAAAATTATGCAAAATTAATTTGGGGGTCTTCTAACTCCTATCCCACTGTTGAATCCATTATCTATCAGGTTAAAGTGTTCACACAAGGGTTGTTCATCTATATCAAGATAATCTAATTTCGAAAGTAGTAATGGATTCACCCGATCTTATTCAGGTAGCGGGTGGGATTCGTCATATTTTGAGAGAAGCTAATATGACTGCCCATTTACTGGCACAAAGTTATCTTATTTCCTATTTTCATGAGAATGAGGTTCCTCACATTATAAAAAAAACTTCAATTACAGACTTGATGGATTTGCCTTATATTCGTTAATTTTCTTGTGAAAAGATTTTGGTCTGCTCCTTCGCTTGTATTGTTTTTTTCTAGATTAATAATACCTGGTAGATGTTCTCGGGCTTCTGCCCCACTGATTTTAGTGGTTTACCTATCGGGTTAAAAAACATACCATTTTTTACTATTCATCATTTTCTTCCTTTCTTAGTTCAATCTCTCCGTTTATTAATTATATGTTTGGATACCCCTGTATTCTATCAATTGGTTTATTTCTAAAGCAAGTAGAGAAATTTTATTCAAGACGGTTATCCAAGTTGTTTACAATCATGAGTCATACGCAAACAGTCTCTTTGTGCTTTAGTATAGAGGTAAGGATGAGTACTACCCCCTTACCCCACTTTAGGTGGGAGCCTTTGCGGCACTAGAATATTGTTGTTGTTGTTGTGGTTATCCATGTTATGTCCACATATGTTATAAACATGTTTCTACTACCCGATATTTTATTATTGAGATCGAGTGCCTTATGAACCTACAGGTACACGTTGAGCTGAGAGGCAATGATTTCACGGCAATGATTTCACATTAGAGCCTTAGAGGCATCCGATGGAAAGGTTGGAGAGCGTTATGCATCCTAAAAGCTTGTGAAAGGCTATGATTTAAAAGGTAGAAAGAATTTAATATAGCTATATTGGGAAAAGAATGATTCATACTTTTATTTGAGCCAAAGTACATTGATTAGGCAAAGATTGTGAATAACTTTTCCTTTGTTTGGAGGACTTTATTAATGGTTGAATAAACTGTTATTGTAGGTAATGGCTGGAGGGCAGGAAATAGTAGAGACATTTCATTGTGGAGGGATTCTTGGCCTCCTGGGATGGGGTCGGGTAGGGTGCTTTGTGTCGGTCCAGATCGGAGTACATCACAATATGAATGTAGCAGCTCTATTAAATGATGATAGCAAAAGTTGGAATGTTCAATGTTTTAATTTGTTGTTCATAGAGGAAGTGGTTGCGATACTATTTTGTTGTTCCATTGAAATTATATTAAGTGGGATATAGTTGTCGCTGGAACGATGAGGCCAAAGACAATTTTTCAATTCGGATTTGCTATAAGAAGCTAGTAGGAGAAATCCAACCACCGTTTTGGATGGAAGATTTCAAATTTCACCTAAAATAAAGTTGTTTTTTTGGCAATTTGCTAGTGGCACTTTTCCTACTGTTGGTCTTTTAAAAAAGAAGGGTGTAGGTAGTCTAAGATTGCTCTTTTAGCAATTAGGAAGAAGGAACAATAGTCCATCTATTTATAAAATAAAATGTAGGGACAGTCTTCAAGGTATCTGTTACGTTCCACCTAACTCATCCTTATCTTTTATCAAGCGTACACGTAAACTCCTTGTGGAGTTCCGATGTATATACTATATGGATTCTTTAAATCTAGGAACCATTGGCAGACCCACTAAGGGTTCCACGGAGTCCCGGGAGTCCGGGACCCCATTTACCTCAAAAAAATACCTATATGTATGTATACAAAATAAATTAATAAGTGTATATATCAAACAAAAACTGAATAATATCTCAAGAATTGAACTAGAGTATTTGGTGGCAAACATGCTCTTGAAGTATTTTTCTAGCGGAGGTGCAGGGATCGACTCCCACATAATGTCTTTCTTAGTTTCTTTTTATAAAAGAACTTACGGATCAACCTGGCCTTGGAAAAAAAATATGCGGAGGTGCTCTGCTTTCTTTTCAAAAAGGGGCAAAAAACCCCCTCAAGTTGTCACAAGGAATAAAGCATCAGTGAGATTCTCTTTTAAAAAAGCATGGTATTCTAAAGAGAAGCTTAATATTAAAATCTTCATGTGGAAATATCTTAATTCCTATTTGCCATTCCCGGAAAACCTTTCAAGGTTTAATATACAGATGGCTTCAACATGTCCTACAAACTCAAGATCATTGTTTCTACTCTTGTCCTAAAGTCATGCCTATTTGGCATTACTACATGAGTTTACTGGAAGTTAACATCCCCCCTTTCATGAAATCAGACAGATTATTTTTTCTTAGTGGCTGGGGGCTACGGACAAATCCCTCACTGGTGTCTTGAGATATGTCCTTCCTGGCATAATTCTTTGGCATATTTGGAAGAATATGAATACGTCCATCTGGGATGATAAATCATTTGACACAGGCAACCTTATTCATCAAATCAGAACTTATACACATCGATGGTGTTTAAGTTTCCAGGGTTCCAAATTCCTAGCACGAGAACATGATTTATCAATAGATGGTCTAGTTCCTAAGCAAATTTCAAGAAAAAGAGGCAGAATAATAGCATGGAGAACCACTCACCCACATTTATTAAGACTCCACACTGATGCGGCCTTTGCAAACGGGAAAAGTGCGGGTGGCGTTGTCCTCCGAAATGCAAATGGTACTTTCATTTCAGCAATTTCATTTCCTCTCAAGGCAAATTCTGTTCTTCAAGCAGAAGCTCGAACCATATTGGAAGCTCTGAAGTGGTGTAAAGGGAAGGGATATGAACTTATGAAGGGGTTCAAATCGAAACACATTCAGAAATCTTGTGTAAAGCTCTCAAAAATCATAGTACCAGGGGGTGTACCACATTTGGATGATATCAGTAGAGAAAATACTAACCTTCACGCT